GCCAGCCATTGCCTTTTCTCTGAGCTCGAACACTACCTGCTGCATGTGGATCACACGAAGACTTGCCAGTTCCCGGCGTGGCAAGCCAGGAGTTGCTGCCAGGTTTTCTCGCGCACAGTTTTCCCAAAAGCCCAGGGGGAACTGGAAGCATTAGTGCGGAATCTGGTAAACAAGAAAAAACAACATACCGGATGGTGGCACTGCGCCTAGAACTACTATGACGCGAACTGCAATCACTGGGGTTCCTATGGAGAAAAGAGCGACAACACAAAACCTCAAAAACTTGCTTCACCTGCAAGCGTTTGATTCTTGGACATCAGGCTTGCAATCACACATCTGAAAACAACAAAACTCAAAAGGGCACGCCCCAAACACGCAATGGACATAAAGGAACCATAGGCAAATCGGTCGCAAGGTGATCTCTCAATGAACTTCTCCGATTTTCGTGCATGGACCTCCTGGAGTCTCCTTCTCAAACACGGGGTTACCCAAAGGGGTGGCAACCAATTTTTGAAGCATACATGTGTGAACGCTGGCTAGCGCCTCATCTGCACCAGACTCCCAATAGCTGAATGTGAAACTGGCCAGCAACAACCTTGGGCTTTCCATGTGCTTCCCTGTGGAAACCGTCCTCAGAAAGCCTGGTGCTTCCAGTTCTAACCAGGGGAAGCATCATGTCAAACGTAGAGGTAAGAAACACCGGTCGCCTTACATCATGTAAGCGGAAGCACCCAACCCTATCTGTTTCACCCAAGACCCCTTTACCATGGCTGCGTAGCAACAGGTTCAGGCATGCCCTCAAGACACATCAATATGAACCTACTTTGTTGACTCCGCCATATAGATATCATGGGGGCTGGGGGCGAGGGAGGGGGGGAGGGAGCCCCAATAAGCCCCAAATAAGGCCTTAAGGGCTTAATAAGGGCTTACTTGGGCTCCCCCTCCCCTCCCTCCCCCCCAGCCCCCATGAATATATATATATATAAAGTGTGTACAGCCTTCTGGAAAGCGGGGACGGGACGGCATGCGGCCTTTGTTTGTGTAGTCATCAGAATTACAGAGATGATTGGACACATTGTGGAAGATGTGTCAGGCTTACGCAGAACTTGCAAATCAAAACACCTGAAATTGCATGTGGTCTTAAGTTTATATTCATTGGTGGTTCCCCTTATTAAGTTCTAATCTGATTGTTCGGAACATGTTTCTTGGTCAATACTATGGCTGATTGAATGCCAATCAAAATCCTATTTCACCTTCACAACTTAAGCCTTGCAATTGAACATCTGCAACCCGCAGAATTCATATTGACTTGTTCCTTTGGTGGCTTGCTCATTTTAAGGGGCGTACACATTAGAAGAGACAACCAGCTTGTCTTTCTTATTAACTTCCATTAAAACGTATAATTAATTATATCTCGCTTAAATTCCTGCTTGGAATGAAATTCATATTTAAATCTAATTCTAAAAAAAGAGAGAGTCTAGTTGCATTCAAATTAAAGCAAACTTAACCTTAAAGCCTTGTGACCCAAACCCATAGAAAGCAAACTTAACCTTAAAGCCTTGTGACCCAAACCCGTAGAACTGAAATTGCATGTCCTTGAGTTTCTGTTTGCTGCACACTCCTTTGAAGGGGCAAACTAAAAGAAACAACCAGCTTGTCGTTCCATACTAATGTTTAGAATCATACTTGCAAAGGAGCTCATAATTGAAATTGCAAATTCAGATTACTTGCTTGAAATACTGATCAAATTCAAGCAATAAGTCCAATTGAATCCAATTTACAATCCTATTTAGCTTAAAGCTTTGCAATTTCAAACTTGCAATCCAATAGAACTGACATTGTGTGTTAATTGAAATCCGACTAGTGTTTCTCGGGTTTTCAACAAAGAGCAGACACAAAAAGAAACGGCCACAACATAACTGCAGAACCTATGTCCGGAAGAGAAACATGCAAGCATACGCAGGGTTCAGCAAGAAATCAAAACAACTGCAGACCCATGAGGCATGGGGACATGGGGTCTGCCGCTTTGTTGTGTTTTGGGAAAGCTCTGGGTGTTTTGCACTTTTCGCTGCCGCAAACTCGATGCAGTTTTTACTTCGAGACATGCCTGCCCTGTTTCTTTGAGGTTTTATGTGCTTGCATTGCAGGATATTGCAGACGATGGAATGTGTTTTGGAAGCAGATGGTGCAGTGCCAGATTTGGCAGGTTTTTGGACTCTTGCTAAAACTATAATTTTCAATATTGTTTTCCCTAACAAATTATGCTTGAATTCTGATCACACAAATAAACATCCCGATTCACATCGAATTTCAAGTAAGAAGTTTCATTACAAATCGTCTTTGAACAGAACATCCTCATTAAATTATCTTTAAACTGGAAGATCTGCTACACTTATTTCCCCGTTAGAGTCCGTGTTCAAATAACAATTCCAATTAGCATCGTCTTGCGATCCCAGGTCTCGATCGAGCAGATTCAGATGATGGGCTTGGTTTATTTGGGTTTTAGCCTGCCAACCCATACAAACACACACACAAAAGAAAAGAACAAATGGTCTGGAGCTTGCTTGTTGTTTACTTGTTGGTCGGTTTTTGATGAAAAGCGCAGCCCCCAGGGCGTCCCCTTCTGAAATAAAGATAAAATGAACGTGCGAAAAAGTAGAAAGTACCAAGGTTTCATGGGTGAAAGCAGCCTTCTGAAATAAAAAGTACAAAAGTAGAAAGCACCCTTCTGAAATAAAAATAAATAAAGCAAAAGTACAAATGAAAAATATTTCAACCCATGGTCCTCCAGGAAGATGACCTGACCATGGACTGAACTGTCTTATGTTGTACATGTTCTTTGTGGCTTTGTGACATGTTCTTCTCTGCTTGTTTTGCTTCGCTCCAGCAATTTACTTTTGTTCTATGCTTATTTATGTTTGTTACATTTGGGGCCTAGGCTCATTTTTTTAATATTTATATTTTCTTTTGTCTTTCCTTACTTTTCAACCCTTGGCTCGAAACAAGCTGGTTGTGTTGTATCTTCGGACCAAACCTCAGAAGATTGAGGACAGAGGTAGATCCAAACCGACTGCAACTTCCTTCGAAACGGCTTGGAGAAGCTTGGAGCCTAAAGCTTCCAGATTGGAGCGCATTGATTTCCCCAAGCCCCAAGCCCCAAGAAAGCCGGAAAAAACACTGCAAATACCGGTGAATTGTGAAGGACGGGGGGCGTGCCATATAATATATATATATATATGTGACATATGTTATATGTATACAAATATATATATATATATGCATTGCATGTACTTTCAAGAACAAAGCCTTGGATGTGTATAGTAATATTATGTGTGTGCTCCTCTATTGCTTAGACTTGCGCACTGCATCTCCCTCTTTCCAAAAGATCAACCAGGCTTTCAAAGCACAGACCCTTCAGCTTCTGCCCGATCCCCCTACCCGGTCTTGTTTTCACTTTGCTCATGGACCATTGGGATAGCGAAACTGGCACACCACGGCGGCATCAAACGGCCTGCATGTCCAGGCGATTTCTTGTGCCGAAGCGAGGCTTATCTACGAAACCACCGGCAAGCCACTTACAGGCGTGCCGCGCTCGCTTGACATAGTTTATTCCGGCAAACATGAAACCGTATAGGCGGGCACTTGTTGTGCTCAGCCTGCAATGTCGACTTCAGAATTTTCTGGAGGAACGTACCAATCAGGTGTGGCCAATCCCAGTTTAGAAGGGCACTATCTTTAGGGTGGTGTAGGGTGCTCCAGATTAACCCGAAGTTAACATTACGAAACTTGGCGCCTTCAGCGCCATTCCATTAAGCTCAGCTGCGGCATTTGGCTAGCTGGCCTGCTGGACCCGGCCTTTCGCCAGAGGGTCGTGCTGCTCGACATCCTTCATAAACTGCCGAAAGCCGCGCAGCAAGATCTGCGATGACTTTGTGTCGCCCTCCTGCAAGATCTGGCAGACCTCCCTGTGCGTGGGCAAAGTCTTGACAATGTCCAGAGCCGTTTGGCCTTTCGAGTCCTTGTTGCTGGGGTTTGCTCCAAACCGTAGCAGCCACCGAACAATGTATTTGTCATTCTGCTTGGCCGCCTCATGCAGTGGGTACGTGTGCGAAAGGCCCCAAGTGCTGGTCTTCTTGCAATTCACATTGGCCTGCTTAAACCTGTTCTGCTCAAGGAAGTCCAGCAACCTGAGGCTTTTCTGTAACTGTACCTTGTGCTGCTTCCGAATCATGGCATCTGTCTTAGAAATCTTGATGATGGGATCTCGGGTGGATCTTGGTACTGCACTGAGGCTCTGCGTGGAAGTCGATGCAGGCTCATGCACCTCCGCTTTCTCCGAAAGGAAGGACACACGCTTTGGGCACTTGTCTGGCACGAAGCCCATGTTGACCTGCACCTCAGGCTCACACCCAGTCAAAGCAGCTTCTCGAAATTCGACCACATCGGAGTCAGATTCTTCCAGTGCTTCGAGCAAGGTTGGGACAAAGGAAGACCAGCAGAAAACATTGCTAGCCATGGCATGCTGGGCTTGAAACGAACAATGCCTGCAAGACCCAGCCGCTTAGGCATTAGCCACAAAAAAAAAAAAACATGCCGAACGGAAGATCGCGTACAACTTCAGCATGAACTCGCAAAGAACAACGGGCAACTGCATGCACAATGTGGAACTCAAACCTCTTTTGTGGATTAGACGCTCTTGGCCCTTTGATTGTTTTTATGCGACTGCAAACTCTGTGTCCGTGGAATCCAATTCTTCGGGTTCTGAGATACCCGCTGCAAGCCATTCAAGTACTTTGCCAGGGCAAAACACGTGAAACCTATAGATGCAAGAAACCGTGGTTTCCTTGTATATTGGCCAATGGCAACTCATGATCGAACACATGGTTCAGGAGTTGTCCCTCTTCGGGAGCTCGCTTTCGGCTAGTGCTTGGAACACTTGTTCAACGCCTGAGTGGGACCCAACGCGTCGGCCGTTACATCGTACAGCGCCGGTGCCCCGCCTCCACGTAGGCCCTACGGCCTCCGAGCTCATGCGAGTGACTCAAGTCACAAGGAAACCCGAAGGAACGTTCAGCCTGTTTTACTGCTTCTAATCACATGGATCCTTAGCCTGCAAGGAACCTCGTGCGTCTTGTTTCTCATGGCTTCAATTGGAAGATCAGCCAAAGGCCGGCCTTCCTTTTTTCAGTGTCTGACAACAACGCGGGCTAATGTCACGACTAATACTAGTCCGGAACAGAAAAACCTTCAGGAGTAACATGTTCGTTGTTCTGTCAGACTGCTTCTCTCATCGTCCACGTTTGTGGGAGGGATCAGATGAGGGGCAAAATAGACATGGAACGGGATTGTGAGGTGCTATTCAAGCTATTTGTGTCAAAAGACGATATGTGCTATATTACATCAGTTGATGGCTTGCCCATGCTTGAATGCGTCGTGTGCGGCGAAATCCGGACCCTGTCAGGGACTGACTGTGAACTTGCGTAATTCATCTGGGTTTCAAGGGGGGTCAGCGATTAAGGTACGGTGCCCTTGCAAAAGTTCCCAAGCGGGAAATTTCAGTTTTTGGTCTGAAACACATGAAACAAACAGCATCAACAATTGTGGGTTTTTTGGCCCAACAAATCCTGAATTGCAGCCCCTCCCCCCCCCCGCAATTGAGGATTTAGTTGCCCCAATAAATCTTTCATTACTAACCCCCCTGTCAGTAAGGGCGCCCTAGCAGCTCAGGAGTCGTCGGTCCCCAAAAATCGTTCATTGCTGATTCAGTCTTGCGGCCCTCCCAAGTCCTTCGTTGCTGGTCGCTCTCAGAAATTAAGGACGGTTGAGTCCCCAAAAAGCCTTATTAATTGCTTGCTGTTTTGCAGTTGCAGCAATCGCTGAGGATGGGCCATTGTGAATATTGAATGATCAACATATTCTTAACTGAGTGGGGGGGGGGGCAGAAGTCCTTCAGTTTCTTTGGCCACCACCATCCTTGATAGCTTCTTCTCAGCCACTAAGTGTATAGTCCATGCTGCCAGTCGCAAACTCTGAGTTTCCAGCAAGTTGGAATCAAGCAACGGTTTGGAGGGTCGAAGGAGACAAATCAGGGGACAGCAATTCATGATATAGAACGATCCTCAAATGCGACGAGGGTCAGAAAGTCAGGATGTGTGAGGCCCACAAAATCCTTAACTGTGCGAGGGGGTGAGAGAAACATTGTTGGGACCAACAATTCCAGAATTGCTGAATGGGTAGATGAAACTCTTGAAATCCGAAACTTCCTCTCATCCACAAAGGGTAATGGCTTGAGTGTCTGCCAAAAAGTTGCCAGCCGTCATCAATGTCAGGTTTGTCCATCCAATGCAAAGTTTTAGCAACTAAGGAGCTGGTCGGCCAGAAATTGTGAATTTCTATGTTGGGCGGGCTGACGATTGTACACAGGATACTTGTTGTTGCCTTTGCAGAATCCTATTCACTGAATAAAGCTGCTTGTCCTTGTCCTTTTTTAGCCAACAAAGCCCTGTTTCCCGACAAGCTGTTCACTACGGGTCAGTAGTTAAGGAATTTGTTTGGGGCAGGGGGGAGTGTCAGCAATTCAGGATTATGCTGAGGGGGTGTCAGCAATTAGGGTCAGAAATCATTGTTTTTCAGCTGCTGAGGGGGGACGTCAGCAATTGAGCAGGTGTCGGGGCCGGAAAAGCATTTTTTGCTGGGCGGGGGGGGGGCGGGGGTGATGCCAAAAAATAGTTGCTGAAGGGGGGCCAGAAAATCCTCAGTTGCTGAGGGGGGGGGTTTCAGCAATTGAGGATTTTGGGATCGAAAATCATTCGTTGTTGAGGGGCGGTCAGCAAGTATTTCGGAGGGCAAAGCGGGGGGTCAGTGATTGAGGATCTGCAGGGGACCGACAAATCCAGCGTGAGGGCCGTAAAGCAAAATTCCGCTAAAAAATCTTAATTGCTGCACCATTTCCTTAAATGCTGAGGGGGGGTCAGCATTTAAGCTTTTTGCAGGTAGTTTTCAGCGCATTTTGGATTCCCAATACGGGTAAAACACCTATTGGGAATCCAAAATGCGCTGAAAACTACCTGCAAAAAGCTTAAATGCTGACCCCCCCTCAGCATTTAAGGACTTTTCGGCCCTCGCGACCCCCGCAAATCCTTAAATGCTGACCCCCCCTCAGCATTTAAGGATTTTTCGGCCCTCGCGGCCCCCCGCAAATCCTTAAATGCTGACCCCCCCTCAGCATTTAAGGAATTTTCGCTCCCCCGCAAATCCTTAAATGCTGACCCCCCCTCAGCATTTAAGGATTTTTCGGCCCTCGCGGCCCCCCGCAAATCCTTAAATGCTGACCCCCCCTCAGCATTTAAGGAATTTTCGCTCCCCCGCAAATCCTTAAATGCTGACCCCCCCTCAGCATTTAAGGATTTTTCGGCCCTCGCGGCCCCCCGCAAATCCTTAAATGCTGACCCCCCCTCAGCATTTAAGGAATTTTCGCTCCCCCGCAAATCCTTAAATGCTGACCCCCCCTCAGCATTTAAGGATTTGTTGGCCCTCGCGGCCCCCCGCAAATCCTTAAATGCTGACCCCCCCTCAGCAAGTAAGGATTTTTCGGCCCTCGCGGCCCCCCCTTAATCCTTCTTTGCTGACCCCTCTCCCTCGCGGCCCGCCGCAAATCCTTAAATGCTGAGGGGGTCAAGGATTTCCGCCGTCGCGGCCCCCCGCAAATTCTTAAATGGTTTGTCAACCCAAAAAAACTTAACTGCTGACCCCCCCCCCCCCCAGCATTTCAGGATTTGTCGGCCCCACCAAATCAATACTTGCTGAACCCCCCCCCCTCTGAACATTTCAGAATTTATTCGACCCCAAATAATCCTCATTTGCTGAAGCAGAGGTGCATGCGTACTTGCCGGCAGAAACATGCAATTCCAGCAGCGCACTTTCAAATGTGATGCGTGTGTTCATTCAAGCGACGGCCGCAGATGAGAACTGGCAAAAACATATGCTCTGCTGCTACCAAATAAAGATGTTTGTGAACTGATAAATCCTGAAGCGCCGATCAGCAACTATGCCCGTCGCCCGCAAAATCCTTAGATGCTAAGGGGCGGGGTCAGCAAGGCCCGAAAAAATCCTTAATTGCTCCGTAGGGTGGGGTCAGCCACAGAGGAATTTGTTGGAAACGGACCGAAACATTCTCAATTGTTGGGGGCAGGCCGGAGGTCGGCAACTAGGAT